AGAGCCTATGAGTTTCTTTCCTAGTCCCCTAGAATGCTAAACAACAATATACTTAAACAGAAGGTACTTTGGCCACAACAACCCCAAGCAAAGCTATAGGCTGGAGGCAGAGTAGCTGCAAGATTGTGGAAGAAATGGACCTGAGGGTGTTGATCGACATTTGCCTAAACATGAGCCAGCAGTGTGCCCAGGTGGCCAAGAAGGCCAGCAACATCCTGGCTTGTATTAGAAATAGGGTTGTCAGCAGGAGCAGGGAAGTGATCATCCGTCTGTACTCAGCACTGGTAAGGCAGCATCTTGAGTGCTGTGTTCAGTTTTGGGTCTCTTACTTAAAGAAACACATCGAGGCACTACAGCATGTCCAGAGAAGAGCAACAAAGCTGCGAAGGGACTGGAACACAACACTTATGAGGAGAGGCTGAGGAAACTGAGATTGTTTAGTCTGGAGAAGAGGAGGCTCAGGGGAGACCTCATCATTCTCTATAACTAACTGAAAGGAGGTGGTGGTGAGGTGGGAGTCAGCCTGTTCTCCCACATAACTAGCAATAGAACTGAAGGGAATAACCTCAAGTTCCATGAGGGGAGGTTCACGTTGGATAATAGGAAAGGTTTGTTCTCCAAAAGAGTAGTCTGGCTCTAGAATGGGCTGCCCAGAGATGTGTTCAAGAAATGTTTAGATGTGGTACAAGGGTACATGGTTTAGTGGGGTTATATTGATAGTTAGGTGAACGGTTGGACTGGATGATCTTGGAGGACTTTTCCAACTTCAGTGATTCTATGATTCATGGTTTTCTCAGTTAGATTCAGTAAACGCTGTATATTCATTCCCTCTTCTCATTCAGATTCTAATGAATGCTTCTTTGCTGGACATCTACAATGCAGGACTGCAAGTACTTTTCTCCTTGTCAAATACACTCCATAAAAATACTATTGTCCTGCTGATTTAGTATATACACACACATCTAGCAAGGAACAACCAGCATAGCCTGACAAGTACAGTCCTGTGTGGGATTTTTGTCCCATGATTATCAGAGAAGATAAATGAAATTTTCCAACACAGCCATATCAAAGTCCACAACACATTGGTATGTGCGGGGTTTGCAAACAATAGAAGGAGGATCTGGAGAGGAAAGTTATTTTTGCATTCTAAATTATGAGAGAGAACCTTGAAACACTGATAGTGGAGGAAGCATTTTCATTAGATATGTTTCACTTTCTTCCTAAGCAATCCACTTACAGAAGCTGTATGTTGTTACATGACATATTTCCACTTTCCTGCAGAACTGCCTGTGATTTTTTGAATGCTGTTTGTTGTTACTGCCTTTCTTCTCCGACACAATGCACCATTTTTTAACCTTTTCAGTAACCCAGTGACACCTCTGGAATATTACAGTATTCCTGTCAAAATGTCTGGTCTGCAACAATAAACTTTACATTGATGTCTTGCTTTTCGGGAATAATTACACCGTTCCTTAAATGTTAGCCTATTTACTATTTGTGCAAAAAGATGACAATAAAATCAATGGAACACAATTCCCAAATGTATATCAAAGTCTTTTGCAATGTTAATGGATTAGTGTGTCTATAGAGGTGCAAGATCATTTTGTCTCAATGCTTGGATGTGCACATGATATGCACTTCCTCAAAGCTAAACTTATTAACCCTTATCTGCTGAGCTCATCCGTTCAAAAAGTTAGTTTAATCTCCCTGCATTTGTCAGGATTCCATTTTTTTCAAGTCAAGCCCGGGAATGCTGCCCATCGATCAATAGGTGTATGATGAAGGAACTTCGTCCTGCTACCTATGACCAGCGGCTGTTTTTTCAATGATTCCGCAGGAGTCAAAAACTCAACAAAGCGAATCACGGATGCTGTAAAGGGAGCATGCTGCTCATGTCTGTGACCACTGTATGCAAAGCTTGGCATTAGTCACCGCCAGGCCGCCTCTGACAGCCCTGAAGTGAGGGAGATTAATGTGAGGCAGGGGCACTTTATTATTGTCATTCTGTTCTTTCACACTCTGCCTCTGACTTTCAATTTTGCTCCAGAATTAATTGTCTGCTCCCTACAGTATGACTGATGTAGAAGGATACAAGTAACATAGGCACCTGGTTCTGGCCTTGACAATCTGACTCGTTGTTGCAGGATGTATTGTGTACAGTCAAATTCAGGGACAGACGGGCATCTTTCAAAAGAAATCAGCCAATGTTTTTTTTTACTTCAATCAGATTTGACTGTAGATTATCCCTCCCTAAGACAATTTTTTTCCTGTAGAGATGCTAACAAAATGCCAGTGCTATTATTAAGCACCACTGCCGCTTTATGCAGCCTCATATGAGGCCTTTCTTTCTAAGCTCTTATTTTTATGTTTGAAAGTAGTAAATTAGTCATGTAGTAGTGTTAAATCCCTGCCCTCTCAGAGTTAAGCATTGTTGTGAGAATATTATATATATGGTATCTTTGACAATATAAATACATGGCTATGTAAGCCAGTATCATTTACTATTTATTGTACTAACAGTTCCAAAGCAAATTACACGCAAAGTAAGACAAATATTTGAAGATCCTGTATCTAATAGAATATCTACTGTTCATCAGACTTAAATGAACCGCTGTACAAAGAGATCAAAGAACATCTTCACTAGAGAACTGAGGACGGAAAAACATCACTTTCAGGATGGAAAAGACCATACAGGATCAGTCTTTGAACATGAATGTCTATCTATCAGTCTGGTTTTTTTTCAGGTTAACATTTGATGATGACAGATGCAAAGCCAGTTCTACACCGCAGCAAAAGAAGGCGCTTCACCTTTATATTTAAAAAGTCAACGCTGGCTAGTAGTCACAGACATTGTTACCAGATGTACAGGCAAGAATATCAATATTTGTTATTCTAAAATAACGTTAACTGTGGTATATTTGGGAAAGATTTCATTTTTCTTGCCAGATACTCTATATGATCATTAATACTTTCAGTTTGATTTTATAATATTTGGGCATACTAGTGATAAACTTGATAACAGAATATATAAAAATAAGCAACACAGAATGTTCTACTGCTTAATGTTTCTTCCTTATTAGATGGGTAGGATTCAAAAGGATCTCAGGAATTTCTCCCCAAATATGCTCCCTGAATAGAACACGCAGTAAATTATTGTGCTCTATCTCATCTATTTCTTCAAAATGACTACAATACTATATTAAATGGTAAAGAAATATATAATATGCTGAACTGTCTTCTATCCTGCATACCACAAGGAAAATGACCACCATTCAGTGAGGACAATCCAACCTCATTACTTGAATGATTTATCATAACAAGCAAAATGTAAAAACATAACTGGTTGCTTTTATGAGAGGAAGCAGCTTTTCCCAATTGGTAGGGTTTTCCTGGACTTTTCGGCAAGGATGCATTTCAATATTCTCAAAACACACAAAAAGCAATAAGAAACTGCCTCTTTAAAAAGGTATGTGGGTAAATGTTGTAATATCCTTCAAACCTGACATTAAGTATTCAAATGTTACTTAAGCAAAGTGTGAGCAATTAAATTAATCAATCTTCCCAGCCATGTACCGAACAGATGTTCAATAAATCCTCTCTGCTTACAGTGTGGGAGAAAGAAAGTCCACTTTTAGCTGTCCTTCAGTGATGACATCCCTCAGCCCGTCCTTTCACAAGGCCTCATGGGCCGCTGCCAGGCAGTTCTGCTGTGTTGTTTCTTTATTATAAATAACAACAGACCACCTGGACTACCTGCAGTACCTGGAAGCTGAGGTTTAATGATCCTTCAGGCTACATCCTCAGCTCTCTCCTGATCCCAGATAATGGGACTGATGGGAATGGCAGAGGAGTGACGGATGGCAGTGACAAATGACTCCAGATAAACATGTGCTGACAACGAGTGAATATGGGGCAGCGTTGCAGAAAGGTCAAGATAAAAGTATTTGCTTGACTTTCAAAGTTTCTCCATGAAAAAGCAGTCGGCATCCTCATATTGTTACTACCAGATAGCTTTACCAAGCAGATTTGTAGAACACACTGTCAAATTATTGCAAATCTGGCAAACAACAATTCAAGTGGGATCAAATGCTCCCACCTTTCAGTAAAATTAGCCATCTGCAAAGCTAGAGCAGCTCTGCTACAGAAACATACAAGAACCTGAATATTTGCAATTTTCAGTGTTGAAAGCCACTAGCAGATGCACACATGCCCTCCTGGTTTCACGTGCCCGTTCTGTTCTGACCAGGCTCCCATCCCAGCCTCAACAGTGCTCTCTCATTCTCTCCAGCACAAGGAAACGTGACTTTGCAACACTGTTTTTCTGCCTAATTATCACGAGATGTCTCCTTAGCAGAAGTTATAAAGTTCACCTGAAAGTCCTGTGATATAAGATTTGATTATTATAAGATACGCCATCAGATCTGTGTTAGAATTTTTACCCATTAAGAACTAATGCTATTTATGGCACTCCCCCAGCTTTAAACAACAAATCCTATTGGTTTATATGATATACACGATGCATCTCATCATCTTAACTTTTTACATGTTAATATCATCTGTGATCAAATGAGTCGACTGACATTCAAATGTAATGGTTAAAATTTCTGCACCACAGATATACAACTTCAACCTTTTGAATGCTGCCATTCCATATATGGACTTTATCCACATTTTAATGAGGCTTTAAAATCTCCAAGATTAAGCTAGTATTTTATATAGAACTGCCTGCTTTTTATGATATCCTGACATGTTGTACAACATTTGTGACTATATTGATCCTTATAAATTCAGCATCTATATATATTCATGGAAAGTATGCCCCTCCACATTCACTACATAGAATAAATGGGGTGAGGGGGGTGGGTGGTTCTTAAACGATTTGCTCAGCAGTAGACAAGTAAGGAATATTACAGTAGCACTGTTGCACAATTTAACAACACTTAACAAATTCAACTACCATTTACAATAAAGGAATGCCAGCATTCTTCCTCAAATCTTACCCTATTTCACTCTCCTTCTGGCAAGCCTGTTACAAGTCCTGAGGGGGTAAACTGTGATGTTCTCACACCTGGGACAGTTATACATCTTCATGTCCTCATCGTCGCCTGACTGCAGAGACAAGCCTTCCTGTGTTTCTCTGCGCTCTTTCATGCTTTTAATCTAAAGCAAATGATTGCAAGAAAAAAAAAAAAAAAAAAAGCATTATCACCTTGGCAAGGCATCAGGAGTTAAAAAAAATAATAATAAAAGGAAAAAAGAAAGAAAAAGAAAAAAAAAGCAAGAAAAAGTCTATGGGCAAATTCATCTTCCATTGCTACAATCAATCTCTCACCTAAAGAAATACACAATAACTAGGCAGGAAGGGGCCAAGATTTATGGCCTAGAAACATCTACACTGACCAGCATACACCTAGCCTTCTTGGCTCCCTCCTCGCCAGAATGGCTCTTTCTAACAGTTACAATGATATACTGTCTCTCCCTACTGTTTTACAAGTACATTAGCTTTATTTAATGAGATCTCTGAGTAATTTAACAGATGTATATAGGACATAAGACTAGAAAAACTCTTGCTACTTGAATATTTTCACCAAGGTATTCTAGGGGTAGATAATCTCTGCTACCATGTTATGTTCCTTGAAATAGTGTTATTGGAATTTTGAGAAGGTTTTTAAAAATCATTTTAATAGAAATAGAATATTATAATCAAATAGAATAGAGCAATATACAACATTTGCTTGTATCAAGACCATAAAAATCAGGATAAATGCAGCTATTTTAGATCCTCAAAACTATATATTAAAAGGCCTGAGAGAAATTCCAGTTCACAACAACTGGTTGGCTCAATAGAAAAGCACTTGAAATACTGCATTCTGAGTTGTTGATTACTGTATGAAGTGTACATAGCTGTTGCTTCCGATAATTCTGCTTTCTGTTATCATACATCTGTTTCTGGACTCCAGGCAATGCTTAGAATGGCTGCTGTTGTCCAGCAAACTAGTTTTAAATAATACTGTTAGTTAGTAAAATATTAAACAAAAAAGACTATAATAATAGATTCTACAATAACTCCAATAATCAACCAATTAATAATATTGAGAGGTGGCAATAAGGAATTACCTGTTTAAAATAACGTTCAAGCAATTTTTCTTAGTTAAAGAAAGAAGTTGCATAAATTTCATGCTTTTGTCTGTGTGTTTTTGCAGCAGCACAAAATCCATACAGTGTCTTAATGTTTTCTCATGCATTATATCTTTAAACTTGATTAAAAATAGAGTATTGCCCCAGATTCAGTAAATGACTTCAATGAACTACATTAAAAAAATTCAAAAACTTCAATTCTACCCAGTGGTGAGACCAGCACTAATTGAGCTTAGTGGCATTTTTCTGTAAATAATGTATAGTCTCATTAAAGAAGGTTTATTTTAGTTTGAAAATACATTTCTTTTTAAAATTCTTTTAAGCTGAAGGGAGTGGGGGAAAGGCTGAAAGCAGTATTAACTATTCTGGCAAAGTGTTAAATGTCCTTCTGGTTTACAGAATATTGTGTTAACCTTGAATTAGACCATATAACAGTTCCAGAGCATTTATACATCACTACCTATAGAGGAATAGGATGCTTACAAGTATGTTGCAACAGATATGCTCGTATTCAGAGCAGAAGCAGGTAAATATCTGACCAAATGAAACATACTGAATGACACTTAAATACTATATCACGTCTACTACAGCAATAATGGTTTCTTCTTCAGAAAGCAACAAACTTCAAGTTGGGAGCTTCAAATATAGGTGTTTCTTTATATACTAGAAAAACACTGATCAATTTCAGGGTACAAATTTATCAATACTGATGGCACAACATTATACTACAAGTCAAGAATGCACAAAATTTCTGCTGAAGCAGAAAAGAGAGTGGGAGAACACAAGCTGGAATACAGAAAATTCACTGCATGAAATTTCATTTCTTGAGAGCTATAGATCAAGTTGTATTTGTTTAATGAGGTTGACACTAGAAAGATGTATAGAACATGTCAGACACCCAGTACCAGTGCGTTCTGGGAAAAAGATAACATCTGAGAATCTGACCACTCACTTCGTCTTCTAGCCAGACTTCTCTATCTACTGGTTCTTTGGGGGATTATAAATGAGAGGGCAGAAAGAACAAGGAGCAAAATAATGAAAAATACACAAAAAAAGAAAAATTATAACATTGTAGAGCAACATAAAGCCAGATTTATTGACCTCACAACTACATAATCAAGAGAAAGTTATCACTATAGAAACTTTTACTAAGCGAAATGATCTTAAATAACAAGGGAGTGCTATGAAATTTACAGCACTTTTAAGATATGCAAATTGAATGCAAGGTATAGACATAAGGGTAATTAATTGTAAATCTAAGAATAATGTTTCTTTGTCAGGGCTGTCTCCATGTTGTGGAATACATTCTAATGTGCCTTAAGTCTGAATATTTCTTAAAGGCTGGTCTAATTATATGATGTTCAGAATTTCAAAATAGTAGTTATTCTTATCGTTTAATATAGCTGCTGTAAAGTTTCATAGCAAAATTTACTGATTACATGAAAATATTTTCTTTTACTTTTCAAGGATAAAGCACTTATTTAAAAGTCTGGGCACTGAGAGCTTGTTTTGGAAAAAAATAATACGATAGAAACAGCTTTTGTCTAAACCTGTTTTGTGTTTGATTTCTTTTTTTCTTTTTCTTTTTTTTTTAAGAGGAGAGTAAAGGAAGGTGAAAAGGAATCAAAACCACTACCTATAAACATCTTCATTTGATGTGACTTTAAGTTACAATGTTAGTTTTCTAAGGACTTTGAGAATAAAATATAATTTTCTAAATACATTGTTTACTTCATTTTTTCCTGTATTAAATTGTAAGCTATTCATCTGATAATGATTAAGGTCAACCCTTCCATTATAACAAGACAATAAAAACTCAATTCATCATTTAAAGGCTTGGTATTCAAACCCCAGGCTTAAAAGGAAATTCATATAAGTTTTCAGAACATATAAAAACTTTTACAAAAATAATTCAACTCTCTGCCAGTTTCTGAAGCCAGCCTACTGTGGTTCCTGACAAAACAAAACAAAAAAAAAACAACCAATATTTGAGCTGTTTTCAGTGTTTAATTAATGTAGATCTATTAAAACAAAGTTTCATAAGGAGACAGCAAAAGTCTTCACCATTAACAACACCCTAATATCTGACACGTATTTGATCTGTAGTTAAAAAGCACTCATATCCTTATTTCTTTGCAGAACTTCCTATAGACCTGTAGAACAGTTAAACAGTGTAAGCAGCAAAAAGAGCACGAACTAAAAAATCCTTCCTTATTTTCATCAATGTTACATTCCTTTTACTTGTACAAGAATGATCCATAGCCCCCAAATACAGTATTTTCTTCCCATACTCCAAAGGAAAAAGAGCAAAACACTTCCTAAGCATCTATTTCAAAATACATGCTTGGCATAGTTGATCAGAGGTGAGATAGTCACTGGGAGGATTCCAATTCTTTGTGGAAACCACCAAATGAAATACATTGGTATTAAGAGAAGGAAACTCCTGGAGGGATAACAACCAGAGATCCTCATGCAGATATCGATTAATAGTTCCTTACCCTCCTAAAAATTTTGGCCAGCAGAATGAGTGACAGTTATCTTCCTGAGATGAAATGCATTTTGGAAACTCCTCTGACAATGTCTTTGGGAGACAGGAAAGAAGAGTGACTGACCATCAACTCCATAAATGCTAAAATGGGTATTGAAATTGTACACATTCTTGCTTTATTGCTGCCAAAACAATAAAAATATCTTGCTACTATTTTTTACCTAAGCATAACACACTATAACTTCACCTCCCCTCCAGCTGATGGTTTGTGCTTTGGACTTATAGTTTAAATAGAGATCTCAGAAAATTTGAAATCATTGCCAGATATAGAGACAGATTTTATAATGTGAGTTAAATGCATCATATGTTCACATTATAGGGTGCATAACACTTGCAGAAATTATAAATTCTCCATATGCCAGAATTAATAGCTTCCTTAAAGGATCTTTCAAAAATTATTCTTGTATGGAAGTTTCCAAAACTTTCTACAAGAAAACAGAAAAACATGGCACTTATTCACTGTTAGTTGGAACCAAGGCAAAATGAAGATTTTAGCCTTTCTTCCCTTTATGATGGGTTTCCTACACAAAGCTTAAACCTTCACGAACATGAAGAATATCCTGTGGGAGTCCTCATCGACATCCTCATCTCTAACTACTTGAAAAGACAAAAGGCAGTCTGGGGTAGTAGAGGCCATAAGAGAACAACTGGCCTAACAGATGTGAGGAGGTTATCAAAAAATTTCAAAAGGCCACTTAAGTAGGAATCCTAAGAGTAAGACTTCACAGCTCTGAGGGAAATAAAGAAGGTTAAGGCTTTATTTTTCCTGTAGAATGTGCCGGAAATTCTACTATGGTGGTAAAGTAACCCTGATCTGAAAGCCAAAAGGTCTTGTTTTCAGCAACTGTTTTCTAAAGTACGATTGACAAAGTTTATGGTTTTTTTCTGAAGCATTTTTTGCATATTATAGTTTTAAGTGGATTTTCTTCAATCACTTAGGGAAAGATCATATATTGTACATCTTAGACAAGTTGCAGAGGTTAAGCATCGCTATGTCTGACCCACATTAATTTTTCTCATTAATCTATGATATCTACCAGTAATTTTACTCATTGCATTTGCAGGTTCAGTGAACATTTCAAATGGTTTATAATTTTGCTGGAATCTAGTATTCAAATTCATGACTGAATGCTTGGAAAACACAAGGCTGTAGAAGAGCCAAACTAGGCTTACGCAATAACTATGACTGAAAGGAATGGTTAAAGCCAGCAAGGTTTTCCTGCCAATTGTTTCCAAAGTCACTAATCGCACAAAAAAATGCTCTAATTTTGTGATTCTTGTAACTCAAAACTGACTTCTCCAATACAATTACTGCCAAGTCAAACTATTATGAAAAAAAACCATAGCTAACACTGCATAGTTGCATAACTTGGTTCACTCTCTTCTACTACCATTTGTTTTGTAGCTTAGCAGTTTTGAAGGGGTGAACTTCCTATTCACTTGAAAATAACAATGGGAGGATCTGTGGACTAGA